ACGTAGCATTTTATTAGCCCTATTACATTCAGAAATAATGTAGGCTTAAATGCCGGTAAAGCAAAATGTTTACAAACATTATAAACACAGTTAGTTTCTCTCCACAACAAATCCTCTAAAGTTTAGGCTATGCGTTTAGGCTATAAAAACGTCAATCCAAAAACAAATTAATTGAAGGTGAAACTGATGCCTACCTCTCTCATTCGGCACAAATCCAAATGTTTCCATATTCGCGACGTATCTGAATGCTAAAATATAATTTATTATAGGCTAGGCTTTGTACTTTCATCGACGTAAAACATCATCCTTTACATCGGCTGTATCAGCACAGTGAGGCGGTGCTCGCTGAACACAACAGATTGTACAACGGAGCAGTGTAACTTTTTATTTGTTTCTTTAACTGTATTTTATTTTGATAATGAACAGCCTGCAATGTCGCAAAATATGTTGTGTCTGTGTGCATGTGAGGCGCCGGCGCGATATCATACCAACGCTGGTTGGTTATACAGCTAGAAGCAAGACATCATTCAAAACTGTCAAGCTTTTGCAAAATAAAGAAAACTACTTTCTGCCGTCTTGCTTTCCTTTACGAGAACTTTGAAACGCGTCACAATGAACCGTAACTCAGCACACTTTTTGCTTTAGTTTTGTTAATCTGTCAATGATTTAAGTGAAATATATTTTGTGTATGCCTATATATTCCTTTTTATGTAAGCTTATAGTTTTATTCTGTTTTCTCCGTTCGCAGAAGCGCTGCAGTTTTACACTATCCTCGGATAAACTCTAACGCCGGTGCATTGCCAGTTAATTCGTTATTGGTTGACAGCAAATTTCTAAATGGAATAAATAACGTTATTAGCCGGTTAATGGCCATTTCAAATTTTCGATTCTGTTCGGAACTATAAAATTTGATTTCGTTTCTGTTTCCGGTTTTCGTTTTCGTTCCTTGAACCGGTTCAGAGCCCAGGTTGTGATGTTGACAGCAAATTTCTAAATGGAATAAATAACGTTATTAGCCGGTTAATGGCCATTTCAAATTTTCAATTCTGTTCAGAACTATAAAATTTGATTTCGTTTCTGTTTCCGGTTTTCGTTTTCGTTCCTTGAACCGGTTCAGAGCCCAGGTTGTGATATATGACCCTGCAGCACAAAAGCAGTGTTAAGTCGCTGGGGGATATTTGTAGCAATAGCCAACAATACATTGTACGGGTCAAAATTATAGATTTTTCTTTTATGCCAAAAATCATTAGGATATTAAGTAAAGATCATGTTCCATGAAGATATTTAGTAAATGTCCTACCGTAAATATATCAAAACTTATTTTTTGATTAGTAATATGCATTGCTAACAACTTCATTTGAACAACTTTAAAGATGATTTTCTCAATATTTAGATTTTTTTGCACCCTCAGATTCCAGATTTTCAAATAGTTGCATCTCGGCCAAATATTGTGCTATCCTAACAAACCACACATCAATGGAAAGATTATTTATTTAAAAAAATTGACCCATATGACTGGTTTTGTGGTCCAGGGTCACATATATAATGTATATAAAAACGTCCTGCTTGTAAATTCACACTATTCCGCGTTTCTTTATCACTTCCACATCTAAATTGCTGTCCTGCCCACTAATACAGCTGAATCTGCTGCCAGTCTCTATATCCCATCATACCGCCCAGTCCTGCCAGTCGCTATGGTTACAAAACAGGACGTTCTGGATCTGTTGGTTGCTTGCCATGCTTCAACAGTGTGACTGATGCCAATGTGTGTGTGTGTGATGTTTCCTCATGTAATACATTAAACAATAGTGTCGCATTTTTGGAGTGTCTTTCTGCATCTGTGTTGAATGCGTGACGTTACTGCATCATATTCCAGATCCTTGTGATTATGAAGAGAAATGTGGGAGCGAGTGGATGAAAGAAATCAAATGTCATGGAGCAGCAGAGCGTTGTGTGTTTGCAGTGAGCGCAGCTCTAAAATAAACAGTGCAGCTGCCGCTTAAAATAGCTCATTCATTAATTACACACACACACACACCCCACAGATACACACAGATTGCAGGGTTTGTTGGGTTTCCCAGTAGATTGGGGTTCATTACAGACATGTGTTAGTTCAGTGTTCAAATGTTCACAGGTTCATCTGACCGAAGACACTTCATTCTGTTGGTGATTCCCGTAAGCAGGAGATCAAACACATTGTGCATCAGAAGATTGATTACAATGACTGGAACACTGAAAAATTTATATAACGTTTATATCTCGCAATTCTGTTTACATCTCGCAATTCTGTTCACAGCTCGCAATTCTGTTCACAGCTCGCAATTCTGTTCACAGCTCGCAATTCTGTTAACAGCTCGCAATTCTGTTCACAGCTCGCAATTCTGTTAACAGCTCGCAATTCTGTTCACAGCTCGCAATTCTGTTCACAGCTCGCAATTCTGTTAACAGCTCGCAATTCTGTTAACAGCTCGCAATTCTGTTCACAGCTCGCAATTCTGTT